TCAACAGCCAGTCAGAGTACTTAACATAAGCTGTAAAAACATTGGTGAGGTCTTCTTACTGAAGACACATCATGACATGTCTCTAGGCCAGGCATGCATTAAGGCATGATTGCACTTACTACCTTGATGTGCATACTGATTTGAATCCTTGTGTAGTTTCATAATACACAGAGGATGTCTCATGAATGACTCACAGTATGTCCACACTGCAATCAAGAGGCACAATTCATAAAGACATTTCTTTGGAGGTTTTAATAGACCTAGTCCAAATGGTTACCAAATGTGGCTGGAATGAAAATGGGCAGTATCTTTTTCAGAAGAATTTGTGCCTCTGACTTTTAGGACACTTGTGTCTATAGCAAAGGCCTTTGCTTCTCCTGTACCTGGACTTGTAGATTCTAGTTAGGATGATAGGATGATATTTAAATGTATAGCCTGTGACAACAAGGGAGAGAAGAAGAGCAAGGGCAAATGGGTATGATGGGACCTTCTAAAGTCACTACTGCATGCAACATTTATTTTTTGTTGTTGATTCAGAAGTCATCTTCAAATGAAAACTAACTACAAAAATATAACAGGATGCCAAGCTTTCAGGTAATTTCATGTTGACTCCACATAAATTGATTTCCTTTAATTTAATTGAGGTATGACCTCCCCACAAAGCTGGGAGGAGTGGCTGACACGCCAGAAGGCTGTGCTGCCATTCAGCGAGACCTGGACCGGCTGGAGAGATGGGCAGGAAGAAACCAAATGAGATTTATTAAGAGCAAGTGTAGAGTCCTGCACCTGGGAAGGAACAACCCGAAGTATCAGTACAGGCTTGGGGACGACCTGCTGGAGAGGAGCTCTGAGGAGAAGAACCTGGGGGTCCTGGTGGACGACAGGTTGACCATGAGCCAGCAGTGTGCCCTTGTGGCCAAGAGGGCTAATGGGATCATGGCGTGCATTAAAAGGAGCGTGGCCAGCAGGTCAAGGGAGGTGATCCTCCCCCTCTACTCTGCCCTGGTCAGGCCTCACCTGGAGTACTGTGTCCAGTTCTGGGCTCCCCGGTACAAGAAAGACAGGGATCTCCTGGAAAGAATTCAGCGGAGGGCCACAAAGATGATACGGGGCCTGGAGCACCTTTCTTATGAGGAAAGGCTGAGAGAACTGGGTCTGTTCAGCCTGGAGAAGAAAAGACTGAGAGGGGATCTCCTCGGTGTATATAAATATCTGAGGGGTGCGGGACAGAGGGATTTGGCCAACCTCTTCTCAGTGGTTTATGGCGATAGGACGAGGGGCAATGGCTGCAAGTTAGAACACAGGAAGTTCCGCATTGACATGCGAAAGAACTTCTTCACAGTGAGGGTGACGGAGCATTGGAACAGGCTGCCTAGGGATGTTGTGGAGTCTCCTTCTCTGGAGATATTCAAAGCCTGTCTGGATGCCTACCTGGGCAGCCTGCTCTGAGGAACCTGCAGGCTGTTTGGACCCGATGATCTTTCAAGGTCCCTTCCAACTCCTACAGTTCTGTGATTCTGTGATTCTGTGAATGATACGGACTTTTTCATGAGCACTTTCCATATAGCTCACAGACAATGTTACAAGGATGCCATTACAATATCCTCTGGTACAACTACAGAGGGAAAAAAAAAAAAAAAAAAGCAGGAGTATCTTTGGTGCAAGTTTCATTTGCCACTCCACTAGAGTGGATTAAGTGAATAATAGTAAATGACCCAAAGTTGTATGAAAGCAGTGCTTAGGAAATAATAATAAAAACAAGAATCTGAAAATGCAATCGAAGACCCAAAAGAAACAAAATTTCACTCAATGATTAATGCTGAGAGAGTACTGCAGCAACCTGGAAAGGAATGCTGTAGTGGAACCTTAGAGCTCAGTATGAAAGTGAGCAAGAAAAAGCATACACATTGCTGCAAAAGTTATTTCTTAGTAAATTGAATTTAATACTGCCACAGATGTACAATTAAATGTCCTTGTCAGCCCCCATTTAAACAGTGGCCAGACAACAAGAGTCAAGTTTATGGTGTTTTTGTTTTTTTCTTCTTTGTTTAGTCATTTCAAATTCACCACAAAGCTCAGATAGTTTCAAATCTGGACAGGGCAAAAGCATATAGCAGGCCTCTTGTTTACTTCTGATACTTCTAAAAGGGTTACTTAACATAACCATTTGCACCCAGCTTCTCTCAAAGGAAACCTGACTGACCAAAGCAGATCAGACCCAAAACATGCAGAGTTTAGCACCAGATTTCTGAGGCTATTAATATCAGACTTCAGGATTTTTAAGAGCTCAAAAGTCGGCTAAATGGGGAATGATTCTCTTCCCTTCTAGCTCACAGGAGCACTGATTTCAGCAAAACATGCTCAGATCTTGGGACGAGCTTAATGCTACTCAGTTAAATTATTGTTGACACTGAAGTTAGTTCAACAGACAAGTTAACATGATGTTTGCTGAACCATGGTGTAGGCTTCCTCATTCATAACTGAAGAGTTGTTGAAGCCTCAAAGTAGAACTCTTGTCCTAGCCAATGGTCCTTTAATTGTGGATATTCTTGGTACTGATTTAATTGCTAGAGCTTAGGCTTCCCCTTCTCCAAGGAACTATGCTTCTCACACATGCCATGATACCTCTGCTTATACTCTTTTGAGAGTTAGTGAATCTTACACACTTTTTCTATAAGATAAAAACAGTTGAAACAGAATAATCCACCTCTTAACTCTTCTGGCCAAGAAAGTAAATGTTTTTGAACTCTTACTCTGTGAATTGAGTTAGGACATCTTGTTTCTCAGGCAAGTGCCCAGCCCAAGTGCCCTGCCACACAAAAGATAGATGGGAAAATACCACTGCACCACAGCTTAGGTGTGAAACTCTTGATTTTGTATAGACACACTTAGAAAAGTGGCAAGTTGTGAGAAATAGCCATCTCTTCAGCATATTTTCTGGCTGACCTGTGGTTCCAAAGAGCTTCTTACTGAGTGAAAAAAAAATCTCTCTACCAAACAGTGCTCATAAGTATTTAATTTTAGTGTGTAAATATGACCTTGTGAGCCAAATGGTTAAATTCTTTAATGGATATGGATCCAACTGCATTTGCTTGTTTGCTCAGAAGGGATTTAATTTGCTTTAGTTAAAACATGTCTCCATTAGCTCTCCTAAGCCCTGCTTACAGTAACTAAACTAGACTGTCTTTCTGTATAGACCTCTCTATATATATTCCTTGCTTATTATGAGCATGATCATGTCTTTAAAAAGAAAAAAAAAAAGATTAAAAAAAAAAATAAAAACAGAGAACTTCACACTTTCAGTGTTGCAGTGGCTAAAGGATGCTATTGCAGCACTTTTTCCTGCTTAGATGACAGCTCAGGTCCCATTTTAAAAGGGACCAAGAATCTATATCTCCACTTGACTTCCGTGGGTGTGATACAAAAGCAGATGACAGTACCTCTAACTCTGCAAGAGGCACAGACAATTACAAAACTGAAATCTGAGCCCCTTGACAAGGTGTCAAAATATTAATGTCCCGTTCATCCCATTTTTTCTTGTTGCCTTTTCCTCTTGGATGGCTCACATCTTTCAGCCTATGGCAACACTTTAGCAAAAGTTCTCAGAATTCAGCATTGCTGCTATTTCTGCATACTGATTGCCCTGGGAGTATGTGATGCCAATGGTACCCCGAGGGAGCAACAAAAAGCATTTGAACAGTGAGGCATCCCACAATCTTGACTCATCAAGAAACCTGCATAGATATTAAAAGCAGACGGATGCCAGAACCCAGTTCTGTGTGTTAAGAACAAGCTAAAGGTAAACCAGAAAGATTGAAGGAAGACAGAAAGTAAAGTATTAAGGAATCAAGGACAAGTGACCAATATTCAACCTGAAGCATTCCGCTCAGTGAGTATGGAAAATTTTCTTTCAAGGTTTTGTTAAAATAAATAAATAAACCAAAACAACCAAAGACATAAGTTTATTTCTGTGGTGGGGAGTGGAAATCCTGTTTATTACCATTCACCCTTCTTCTTTTCTACCTCAAGGAGACACTCTTTGTCCCCCTGGAGCATCAGTCCAATTGGCTGGTTATTTCAGTTCTGTGGATATTCTGCTGATAGCTATACTGTAGATTCCCATGCCAGATACTTGAGTTAATTAGCTTGTGGGCTGCTAATGTCAGACTTGTTTAGTGCAGGAAAAATAGCTGACAACAAATCATCACTGTGTGAGATCTTGATTATTGTTTGGATGCAAACAGCAACATGCTGGCACCGCCTTGCAAGTGTTTTCAATCACAGAAGGATGTTCTAATGCTAACACAATGAATGATGCTGGCTATTTTTTTTTATTTTTTTTTCCCCTGGAGAAATGAGTCAGATCATTGATGGGTCCTGCACACTTGTTTTTTATTTGAATTTCATTTAGGTAATCCTGTCTTCTCCAGATTCATAAGGCTGAGGGCCCAGATCCTCAGTTTTTGAAGTCTCTGATAACCAGTAGCCAAAAAAACAGAGGGATGACCATGGAAAATACTAGATGTGCTATACAGTGAGCCTGTACTCACAAAAATACTACATACATGCATTTAATTGATTAGGGAGATTAACTTGAACACAGGCTGAACAACTACAAAAGATCTCTTTCTTTATTCATGTCTCTCCAACGTATTACCTCTTTTCATGCCGCTCAGTTTCCACCAAAAGTGCTACTGTTCTTTTGAGAAAAATACATACTGCTTGCTGAAATTATCTTTGCTTTAGATCTGCCTTCTACCCTACATGGCTAAGAATTATATAAGAATATCATTCACCATTAGGCAAAGCACAGATGAGAACAGTTTGCAAAGTACGTGATCACAACGACATCACAAGAAGCAAGAATTTTCTGCAATTCATCCCTTTGCAGGGTTTCAATATGAATTATGGAAAAGTACGATGTTTTAGATAACAGCAAGATGTTTAGTTTTTTTTGTGGTGTTAAGATCAATGAAGTATGCACAAAGGTATATACTTACTTTTTCACTTTGAACTGGTCAATCCTGTAGAAGTTGTTCATTGTCTCACAAAGTGTTGCAATATCCAGATTCCAGACTGTAACCTGAATGAGTTCTGGTTTGAAAATAAAATGGACAATTATCACCCGGAATGTTGTGGGAAATATTTTTTTTTAATTTCATCAATATATCCTGTTGACAATAGTGACTTCTATATTGCCTTATTTCATTATTTTACCACAAGAAAGTATCAAAATTTACAATGAAATGCACTTGTACAAAGACAATCTCAGTGACTGCAGTAAATTTATATGGAAAATATGGATTTCCAATGTATATTTTCTATCAGTGTTTTTCAACTTCCATGGTCTGATCAGGAAAACAAAGGGAGGTTGTGAGCCCAAACCCAGAATCAGAAACCTAGCTGAGTCGGGATAGAAAAAAAGCCAGAACTCAAATGTCCAAGGATACTCCAGTGACCTGTTTTGGCCTTAGCTGCTTCTGAACCATCAAACCCCAGTAGCTTGATGGCTGTAGGATCATGGTATAGATAAAGGAGGCTCTGTGCTTTGCTAACTTGCACAAGCAGCAACAAGTAACTCTAGCCATGTAATTAGCTTAGTTATATGTAATTAGTACAATATGTAATTTGGAACCTTTGGAGTTAATTATGCAATATACATGCCTGAATTTATTATATGGGTACTAATTTGTGCATTGTGTTGTATTCCTTGAATTTGTAAACAGAAAAGAGTTTTTGGATGATGAAGCATATCTATTAAGTATGTAAACAGACCAGAAAGGAGACATGGGTTTCTTCTGAATATCTTTTAGGGAAAGTAAACAAAGGCAAATACTATGAGTAGCGGAAAATCAATGCAAAATGAAATGCAACTGTCAGCCTATCCTTATTACTCTTCAAAGCCATGCAAAAGCTGTAACAGAAGGGTAATCAACATGATGATAGTATTAGCAGTGACTTGTTAGAAATAATCCTGATACAGATACTTTAGAAACTGTGATATTAACCAGACTCCCAACTTTCCCTGTTCATTTTTAAGGCTCATACATAACTTAAAATATAGGCCCCGAATCAATCTCTTCATCCCCAATGCTTGCTTAAAAGATTAATAGTGTACTTTCAATGTTTACAGTCCTAAACCAATTATGTCAGTTTGGGATTGGTGAATCTAGATTGCTAAACAGCACTATGGGATAAGTCTATTTCTTCCAATCATTTGGATTTTTTTTGGAGAAAATAAAGAGCTGGGGAATTCAGAGAGGCATGAGTTATTTATTGCAAACATTCAGTGTATCATTTTCATTAGATTACAGTGATGCAGCCAAACAGATGTGAGTGGACAGGGGAAAATAATTTTTTAAAACACTGCTTTGTCAAATGCACCTTCTGGACTATTGCTCCTGCAATAGTCTGGTGTGATTGCTCCTGCCAGCTGGGACACTCAGAAGTGTCTGAAAAGATACTGATAGTTACAGGTTGGTTTCTAAGGCCCTTATGACAAAAATGGCCCCCAAGTTCAGAAAGAGCAAAGTAGGCATGGACTCGAGACTTGCAAGTGATCCTTGCAAGTCATGACAGTGTCAGATGCTACACTGATGCCATTAAATCCAGTAGCAGATAACTTGGTGGAAATATTTTTTTTTCAGGAGAGCACGAAACATAGCCAGCTAAAAAGCATCACCTATCATTTGCTCTGAGCACAAAAGCATGATGGAGGCCAATGTCTGTTACTAGTTACAGAATATAAGGCAGTGTAAATCACCATAATTCCTGTGAGACTCTGAAAATTTGATTAAGTTAAAGTTTTTAAATGGTGATAAATACAATGGTATAGAATGTAACCACTGTCTAACTATTCTTTAAAAATAGAAATTTGCTATGCTGAAAAAAGAACACAATATAATTTAGCATGTACCTAAAATAGCCATGAGACAGACATTCTTGTTTGATAGCTACAGCTCTATCAGCCAGAAAAGTTGCAACTTAGCTAAAAAAAAAAAAAAATCCTTTAATTAAACAAAGAAACCTATCAAATTTCTGAAATTCACATACTTCCTTGTCAGATGCCAAATGTGTTAATTTAAGACAAGCACCTTATGGCCAGGATGCACTTTGTATATTTTCAGAACATTATGTTTATTCCAGTTGACACATCTGTAGCCTGGCTGCTCTTTTTTTTTTCTTTTTTTTCCCTAATTAGAATAGACAGGTAATGGTCTTTAAGTTCAGACCACAAAAGAGCAAACCATTTTACCATTTGAAGCTACAATGCTACAGTCTGTGTAGAAGTCCAGAGTTCATTCTGAAAAGCTCTGTTTAACTTCTTCCTCTTATACTTTGAGGAGAAATGATAAATTAACAGGACAGTTATGTATGAGGTTACTCAGGAAAGCAACAGAGAACCATTACTGTTGGGAATTTATTGATGAGGGCAACATACCAGTGTTGAGTCTGGATCTAAATCAATGCTAGCTCTTGATTTAGGCACTGAAGACAGTGTTTGGATACCCTTGGGCAGAAAGCTGTTGAGATTTAGTAGTAGTAGTGTTAACCACAGATGCAGCTCAAAAATGAGGCTTTCCAGTGCTGAATCACATGGAAACAGACACTCTGCTCTGACGGGAGAATTTGGAAGTCAGATGTTTCTGAGGTGGGGTTTGTATGATGAGAGAGGAACTTTTTGGGTCGGCTGGTATAGCCAGAAAATCTTTCAGGCCCACAAATGCTTCTTCAAGATGTATTAGGGATTTCTAGCACTTTCTATATTAAAGAGGAAAAAAAAATCTTGTACTAAGGGTGACTGATGGAGCCGAGTCCAGAGAGAATTGCACAAATGTTCTAGTTCATCTACCCTAATCCCTGTCTGATAAGTGTGCAGCATGCGAGTCGTTTTTTCTGTACATTATAGAATCTGGGGCCTCAAGAGCCAGCAAGTTAAACATTATCTTTCAATCTGATGAACATGTGAACTTTATAAGAGTTAATACTGGGAGCAATAGACACTTCCCCAAGCTAGGAATTTCCTCCTAGCCACATAAGTTCGCAAGTCAGGTAAAGAATCATGTAGTACGTTGAGTGATTCATGCATGTGAACAGAGGGTTTTGAAATAAAATGCCTGTATAATACATTTATAATTAAGGATAACCTCCCACCCACCTCATGAAACTGTCTCTTCTGCCCTTGATTGCTGATGGAAGCTGTCCGCATGCATCAGGGGACAGCAGGCTGCAACTGGCGGGGTTCCTGTAGGGCAGAAGATCGCCAAACAAGAACTCTGATCAGATTGCTGCAAGTGGGCAACCACCATGCCTTTCATTCTGAAACAAGCACCCTCTCAGGTTTCTTTTCCTTTGTAGTCTAAATTGCAATGGCCACAACTGGGAACTTTGAATGACTGTTCATGAACTTTTCAATACAGTTATGTTACAGCAACTCAAAGACCTTTTAAAAAGGATTATTTGAAAGACATTATAAAATCTCTGTGTAAGCAGAAATAAGGAATCTAATTTGTAACTTTTTCCTAAATCAAACATTCAGCAACCTATAACAGCAGTCACATGATAACTAAATTATTTCCCTTCCCAGTGAAATGATCCTTAGGATCCTTAGGACACAGATGAGGGGGAGGGAGGAAAAAAAAAATATATATATATATATATTTTTTTTTTTAAATAATCCATCTGTAACTTTCAATATTTCTTTATTAATCTTTAACTGTTGATGTGCCGGGCCTCTTTTTATGACTGGTGTCTGCAAAAGTTCACAGGGTTGGTTTTTTTACTGGCACAAGTATCAGCAGAAAGCAGAGTTTGGGGGAGGGAGGAGAGGGGCACACGTGGCTTTCCAGAACTGAAGGTTTCATTTGCATAGACGAGCCTGCATGCCAGAGCTGCATGTGCACACACGTAGGCAGAGAACAGCTAGGCAGCACAGCATTTTTTTCCAGGACTTGGCAATCACACATCAGTGTAAAATATTTCATCCTCAAAATCATTTATCTTGCAAACATCCTGAACTTAACCGGAGCGTATCGGATAATTATTCGCTGTTTCATTATTTGCTCAGCTCTACTCTTGTGGGTGTGCTCCCATCAGCATTTTGAAAGTCAGCCCAAATAATAGAGCCTACCTATGAGTACAGTGTCAGCTAATGATTCACAAAGCATAGTTCTGAATTCAGTAACAAGTGTTTTTAAAAACCGCTTTCTAGTCTCACTCTGAAACACATTAGCATAAAATATCCCTACCTACCAAACAAACAAAAAATGGTTTGACACTAGCTTTGACAAGCTTTTTAAAATCAGCTTTACTCTTGCCCACTGTCAAAGGTAGCAGGACTGCACAACTAGTACAACTTTTCCTTACATCTATCAAAATTTCAGCTTTACCTATTCACCCATAATGAATTTCTTTCATATGAATTAATAAAGTTCATTCATATTCACTACAAATGCCTCGCTGATATCAGTCGAGAAATGTACAACTACATATCACTGGACATATAGTTTGTAAGCAATTTAGATTGAAGATGCTAAACCACTGACTTCTACTACCAGGTGTCACTAAGGACCATGCACTGTTATGGCACAGCTGATGCTATAAGTGAATCTAGCCCAGGACACATGGCAGGGACTACTGAAAGTGTTGTTTCACGTACTTGTAACTTGTCCCCAGACCAGTCATAGTTTTCAATTTGACATTCTTCATGGTATGCATCTGGTCGTTGGGCTGATCAGTTATTTGAAAGAATCAAAATCAAAACCAGCAAAATCTCCCAGTAAGGCAACAGCATCTGAAGGATGGAAGCACTAGAAATGTAAGAAAGCTGCAACTGGGAGGATTCCTTCTCAGTTTTCAGAGCAAAAGAACATGTTGGTAAAGTTGCCAAACCAAAACTAGCTGACGCATTTCTTTGCATAAATACCTCTTTATCCTTAGTCTGTTAGACCTTGTTGACCTAGGTCAAATTTAAACAGCAGAAATGCAGATGGTGTACGGCTTAACTTCTATGACTATTCACACTGAATCATAGATGTCACATACTTCATTAAAAATCCCAAAGCTAACATTAATCTCCATGGCACAATATAGTCCTTTTGGGCCACAAAATGGAGAATGTGTTCTCTCTCCCTTGCTTCTAAGCTATTTGATTCTCACTGGACACCTTATAATAAAAAGTACAAAAAGGGCATTTATTATGAAAACATTTGATGAGAGGAAATAAGATGATAACTATATGCAACTTAAGGGTTTAGACATATAGTGTTACAACCAAGAGGCCTGGATGGCAGTCAGATCTCTACTCATCCTTCTCAAGAATATTAAAATCCAACTTCTTCCCTGATAGCATCAATGATCAAAAGACATAAACAATCAGGCTTTCTATGCTAATTACTGCACTGAAGTATTTCCTTAAGTAGTTTAACCAATTAGAAGGAGCAGCAGCCATTAAAAGGAATCTTAATAATGGATTAGTTATTCACAATCCCTTAAAAAAAAAAAAAAAAAAAAAAAGTTTTTGATCTACATATATCATCTCTCTTTTTCATGAGATTTCAGCTTTATTTAAACATATATTCCCAAACTCTATAAGAGTATGATGTTATTAGCCTCTTGCCTTTATTTTTATTAGCTTAATATGTGAGTCATTGAAAGTTAATATATTTGTGGTTCACACATGAAAAAGAGTTGAAAGTTTAAGTAATAGAGTTTACACAGAAGAAAGACTAGTAATGTAAAAGATTTCTAATTACTAGGAACTGGCAGGGACAGAGAAAAGCTCTTTAAGTGAAATCATGTTTCTGTAATTAGATTTCATTAAGAAGCATTGTCAGGGTTAAAACAGTTTGAAATAGCACAAAAAATCTTTAAATAAAGCGTTACTGTGTTTTATTCAGATGGGACTGGAGAAAAGGGGATAGCTTATGCTTCAGGAGTATATTGCCAGCAACACATTTAGAAGATAAACCATTTCTAACTAATCTTGTCCTCCAGTACTGATTAGATTAATACTTGGCAAAATTTGGTCATTATACCTTATGCTAACAGAAAGTCACACTCAGCTGTGAACTCTGTTTAGGCCATATGTTGAACAATCAGTGGTGCAGTGCAGGAGGGTATGTTGAGTAACTCCATGGTCAATTCAGAATTAGCAGGAGCATCACACACATAATTGTTACCAGAAGCAATGCAGACTGTTTAGAGGGTGTGTGAGTTCTCTGTATGCTGTTCTCACTCTAGAGTTAAGCAAAATACCCTACTTTCTTCTTTGTTTCTCATTTATAGTGTGATTACTTTTTTTTTATCTTTAAAAAAAATGTAAAAGCAGAAACACACAACAGGTTCAGTCAGGGGCTTTGTCTGGAGAGCTTCCTGACCTGTTTCTGCTGTATTCAAATTAATATGCCATCAGGGACTAACCTCATCTGTAGCACAACAGGTAGCTTTGCCTGCCAGCTGAGCCTGTGGCCAACTTGTCTGAATGCACCTCCCCTGCTTTGCTGCAAAGTCAAGCTTAAGTCATTAATATGCACTTCATTAGGCCAGGTGGAACGTGTTAGTCAGTCCTAGCTTGGAAATCTACCAATGAAATCCTGTGTGACAACTACAGAAATAAACCCTGGTGACTAGTGAGTCACAAGTCTCCTAGAGCAACGTTGCTTTCTAAAGGGAATTTATTTCTTGCCCAGCCAGGCTCCAGACTACATTTTGAATGCAGTGTAAGTACTTGTGGGGCTATGCTCTGTGTCGGTTCCTACCAATTTCAAATGTCTGATGGCCTCCATAACAACTGCAGAGCACTCAACTGAAAGACTGCACCCTGCTAGCAAGCCTGCTCAAGTCCTGAGTAGAGAAGAAAATCATGGAACCAGTCACTTTTGGGGCAACTTCTTTCCTCTGGTCAGGAAAAAGAGGAGGCGTTTTGAAGGTGAAAATTCTGGTGGTTGCATGCCAGGCTCCTAACGCTAACGCCCATATATATACACACAAGCACATGTACTCCTGCCTTTAAAGGGGTTTGGTTTTATCCCAGAGCAGAACAGGAATGTTTAGGAAAACACAAAAGTTTTGCAGGTTGGAAAAGTATTTCTCACACAGCTCTAGCCTTAGTAATGGGAGGCCTCCGATGGTATTTAATATTTCAAGCAATTTTGGTTTCAATTAAATTAATAGAAGGGAAAATGAAAAAGAAAGGGCTGGGAGGGGGACTAATTTTTTCCTACCCTGAGGGAAAATTCAATTACTTAAATTGTTCTTTTGCAGAGGAATGAAACAATTGCAGCAGAGGGAACATTGGAAACTGTCATCCAATCTGCTTCTGAAACGCAGTTTGTGCAACGAAGCACCATTTGTATGGATCCCACCAATTTACTACAATTTAGAGTGCTAGCTAGACTCCAGTTCTTGTGTCCCTTGAAAACTTTATTAGGATTATTAAGTCAGGACTAATTGTTGCTTTTTGTTTGTTTATTTTCTCTTCTTCTCCTTTCCCAGAAGCACCTGAACGTCTTAGGAATTTAAACCATTGAAGTTTTAAAGCGTCTATTGCCAAAGCAACCGCACCATCTAGGTCCATTCCTTGGAGGCAGCTGAGGCACGTGGGCTCCCTTGGCATCCCAGCTGCACATAGGAGCTGTTCTGAAAGCCCCAGTGACTGAGACTTGCAGTTGCAAAATAAAGTCTTTAGGAATAAAGATGCAGAGAAGGAGACAAAGCAGCTTTCCAAAAAGAGATCCCTAAGATTACGCTCATACAACCAGCTAGTGGGTGTCACAGTTAAACTGCATTTAGCTCTGCATAATGAATCAGTCTCTGAGACTGTTAGGCTCATCTGATGTATGCAGTCAGTTGAGATCATGAGTCACAACAGAAGGGCGCAGCCCAAATTAGCATGATTCCTAACTTCATACAGACCCTGATGAGGCTCACCTTGGGATTCTTTGGAGAGTTTTGCAAATGGTATCCAAGGTCTAGCCCATTGTCTTCTGTACACACAAAAAAAAAAGCGCTTTCAGAGAGATGATTCACTTTCTCTCCCTGTCCTTTTAGGAACAATTCCATTTGCAGCTGGTAGGAAAGGTAAGTGATAGGAACTCACATGCAGCAACCTGAACACTCCAGAACACATGAGAAAATACTGCTTCAAAGAGACAGCAAATAAAACCAAAACCAAGAAAATAAACACTGTAGCCAACATTTTCCAAAATATACCGCCTTCAGCTGGTTCTTGTTTTAAGTATATGGTAAAACTGAGTTATCACAGGTGCTGCTTTCTGGAAACGCCCACCATTACGGCTGATAAGATAAATTCAAAGAAAAAAAAAAACTTGAAATGGCCTCAAAGAGCTCTCTGAAAAATTTAGATCATTGTAAGCCTGCAGATTTTGGAAAACAGTCTAGTTTTCGTGATACCAATATTCACCCCTTCCATTCTGTACGTGTGCAAACACATCTCATCCTTTTCCTCATTGAATTCAACTCAGACTAGCACTGCCATGAATTTCATTAGTTTCACTAGGTTTTATCCCCTTCTCTGAAGCAGTATGTTAGTGATGACAACCTTGTACTACTAAATGAATCTCACATTTACACTGAGTGCCAGGGTGCTTTTAAAATCTTGACTCTTTCTTCTACTTTGTCATAAGTCCGCCTGGCAAAAATTAAAAAAAAAAAATAAAATAAAATAAAATAAAGGCAGCCAAAGGGGGCATGTTCGCTTTCAGAAGTCAACGAAAGAGAGGGGGTGTGTGGAAGAGAAACTCTTTAATGTTGCTCAAGAAAATACTTTTCAGTCAAACTCTGGCAGCATACTGCCCAATTCCTGTCTTCAGCAGCAAAGTTGAAGCTGCCGGTGCTCAGGGGCGATTGGCAGTCTGCTCTGGGTTCCTTCACAGCACTGCTAATCTCCACTAATACTCTCCCATGCTTCATTTAATTTCACTCTCAGGGCTCTTTTTCAAATTCTTCCTCCAATCTTAAACCAATGCCCTCATTGTTTAGGATTCCTTTACCCTGACAAGGCTGACCTCAGATATCCTCTCCTTTTTCCTGCTCTGTAACTCAGGCAGTCCACTTACTCATTCATATGGTAACCACACATAATGGCCTCCACATTAATTAAGTAATTTTGGTTCTTTAAGGTACTACAGAGGGGTTTTCAATCTCCCAGTGCCTTTCAGGCCAATTGAACTCATTTTTTTGTTGAGCGGGCCAGAGAGTACATGGAAGAAGAGCCAAGGAGAGCATGCTCTCTCCCTGAGCCATTCCTTTCATGCTGCTGCAGGGTTAGGCCAAAACAACATCAGCAAGTCTAATTTGCCCCAGCAGTGGATGGGAAATGACTAAAAACCTTGCAGATTAATTTATGTCAGATGTATGCTTTAAAGCAAGTGAGAGCAAGAATGAAAGAGCATGTGGGGGGGGGGGGGGGGAGGGTGGCGTAGAAAGAAAGAAGAGAGAGAAAAAAGAAGAGAGAAAGAGAGAGAAAGAGAGAAAACTTGCTTTTGCTGCCAGACATAGAAAGACCCTCTTTCAGTTCTCTTGGGAGCTGAATGGCCCCAAGACAAAGACAAAGTCCTACCTTTGCTTTATGGTTCTTTTGTTTGATGCTTTAAAGTTATCAGACAATTCAGAGCAAAATCAGAAGGAGGAGAAGATGCAAAACTATACAGTGCATGATGAGTATCCCAGCAACTGCTGGTCCTTCTTGCAAAGGCATTTTTGTGCTGCCCAGATGAGATAGACACAAAAAAAGTGTGGGTTTTTTTGTTTGTTTGTTTGTTTTTTGAGGGGTGGTGGTGGTGGTGTCCCTCGCAGTACCAGAAAAACAAAAAGGTAGTAGAAACTTTGTGACAGTCTGGATAAATAAATAAATAAATATTTCTGTTACACAATCGATACTGAAATCAAAAGGAAACTGCAGATCAATAGATGATATGGACTGGATGACATTGCAACTGTGACAGTCCTAGGGAAGCTCAAGACCAAACCATCATTCCTGTTAAACCAGTAGACCCATGTTTCTCTCTGATGGCCAGCTATGATCCTCCAGATGTGATATCTCATGGGAGGAGTCCCTCAGTGAGCTATTGAAATCCAGAGGCTGTAATGCTTAGCTAGGTACTATTCAGTGTGACTTACTAGGGGACAACTGCACATTTTTATACATACTTTTTTTTTTTTTTTCTGTATGTGCCTCAACATGTGACAACTGGCAATGGTTAGACATCTTGCTGGTATTCTCAGCAAGGCCAAGAACAGTCATCTCTATGCCGAATCTCTCTGGTTAAGGGTGTTGCAATGCTCGGGAAGTGTCACGTGTGGTGCTACCACTGTGCAGTAACCATTCTGTTGCTAAATAAAGCTGACTTAATTTTGTACATTCTTAGAACTCATATCCAATCTGATCTGCCCACCACATCTAAAGCATTTGTTTACTTTTTATGCAGCCATGCTGCTTAGTTTTCAGATGACTGCCTCAAAAATTCTAAGGAAGTTCAAAATAAGTTTCATATAAGAAGCACAACATTAGCATGGACTCATCTCTGGTGAGAGCTGGTTCTTATCCAAAAGTTTGGAGACTTACTCTTCATTCACCTTTTTCTTAATCCTTGTTTTACCATTAATAAGATACTGAAATAGTAATATCCAATGACCTACCTGACATCTAAATCCTGATCTGTTTTGACAGCAGAAACCTAACTGTAAAAATTTTCAGAAGAGCTGAACAGACAAAAAGCCCAAATCTAAAAAGAGGGAGGAGATGTTTCATGGAATTAGACCTTAACTCTTGGTTTCAAAGGAGACTAGTACTTAGGAGCCTATGTCACAATTTTCAGCAAGATGTCAGGTACAGCTAAGACAACATTTAATACTGATGCAGTTAGATTTGTACTCTTAGCAGTATCACCTATTTCAATCTAGAAAGGAAATAGCAGTATAGAGAAGCAGCAACACAGTATGTCTTTATATCTATAGATGTGGTTGGGCCAGGATGTTTTTCCAATAAAAACACATCCAATAACCTAGATGGCTGTACCGGTGCCAGATTTTCTATAGGAGACCAAAAGTCTCAGATGCCTTAGATGTGTGTATTACACCAGTTCCACTAGAACTTTGTCAGGTAATAGCATTTTCAGGACTACATGTAAGCACCAGAGCACATCTGACAAAGAGAGAAGGTCTTAAGTTACTTGAGCAACGTGAAAATATTATTTCTAAGACTGATGAAATGTGCAACAATGCACAAGTTAAAAAAATAGGTCAGTCATCTTCAAAAGAACAGAACTGAACAAAGTCATTCTAAAGATACAATAACAAAAGTAAATAAAAATAGATTGTATTGGGAAGTCTTTTTTTAAAACCCATATTTCTGTAAAATGGTAATTACCGCTATTATTAATATACATAATGCTGATGATTTGATCTGAGACAACAGATACGTTGTTATCTTTGTGTGTGTAAGAACTAAGACTATGCAAAGATAAATTCAATGACATTCTGAATTTCCTGATTTAGGCCCACACTAGAATATGGAAACTGAGTGAAGGGAAGAAGACGATTTTCCTTATTTTATCTTAACTTTGGGAAAACCCCTGGTTAATTAATATAGTCTGTCAGATCTAGGGTAGTTCTGACTACCCTGTCAGAAATGTGGTGGTGTGCCCAAGCTGGAAGACACCTATTTCAGGACTAATCTTAATGGCATCAAAGCCTCAGTCATCTACCACAGGTTTTACAGTGCATTGTGGGAATGTCACACACTGACTTTTCCCTTGGAGATTCACAGGAAATTTGAGGATATTCTGTCAACTTTTCCCTGCTGCTCTCATGTCTAAATAAAAACCACTCCTATTGTTCACTTTGGACTGGGGAGAATTTTAAGCAAGAACTCTGAAGTATTTGGTCCTCCAAGACTAGCGGAATAACGTGAGAACCAAAGCTCATCCCAGGTACTGGCTTAATGAGCCTCTCCAGATCTATGCCCCATCTAAGCATTTCTAGACTGTACCAAAAATACAATTGCAATAGCCTTCTCTCAGAGCAGAGTTCATAACTTTTATGTTAAGAAAACTGTACACAAGGAAGGTCTACAGACTGCAGATCTCTCAGCATTACTCCTGCCATAAAGCCTTTCAGCCCAGTAAAAGTCTGTATCTATTTGCCAGTGACTAGCCGTCACTGTCACACTTTTATTATTTTACAACATAAATATCTGAAAGACAATTGAATCTCTGCATTAATCTGTTTATTTTTTATAGAGAAAGAACAACGAAATAATTACAAAGTTTACAGATAGCTTAACATTTGGTATCCTTGAACAGATGCTTGTGCTCATTTTGTCATTGTATTCTACACTTATTTATCCTTTGTATTAATGAAGCATTTAAACACTACTGTTTGCATACATGCTAACATAGATTTCTGCCAGGGATAAACACAAAGCGAGAACTAGCAAATTGCTTATCAGCAAGGTACCTTTGTGCTGTATTTCAAGAACATCTGTAGAAGTCTGAAGGGCAGAAATCAGATCCCTGGAAAACAGTTTGCCATGGCTAATTCTTTAAAAAAGAAGAAAAAGACCTTTCACATATTAAGAAGGCTAGGAGATTGTTATCATTTCCTCTGTAAGTCACAAAGACATACTTTTAAGAGAATTCAGCTAGGAATTATGCATTCTTAACAATTCTGAATAGTCAGGCCCCAGTTATCCGATACCAACAATCATCAAAAATAAGACCCTAAAATATATCCATGGGCTTTACACGAACTCCTTATATTTCTCTCTCCATGTTTTTCATTTTAAATCTGATCCACTGTTCATGATTCAGGGCATTCATAGATACTTTATTTTACTGGCCCTTACATTCATTAACGCCCATTACATTATGGCCAGCATAAGAGATGTTTAGGCAAGCTCCATTAGTGAAGGTATGAGCAACACTCGGCTCTCGCACCTGATTTGTGGTGCCCTATAATCTTCCTGTGCTGGGGTCTCAGAAACACACCACAACTGAAACACTACTAAATGTATAGTTAAGTCCATTCCCATTCAAGTTTGTACTAACGCACCCTTCAAGAACTATTTGGAGAAAATAAAAAAGAAGGAAAAAAAAAAAAAAAAAAAAAAAAAAAAGCTAGACCCTTTGACCTAAATTTCTAAATTTACCATTTTGCTATACATTTTTCTTTAAATGTGCCATGACTCAGACATGCATGCACTTGCAATCAGTGTACACAGTGAATAGCTACACACATTTCATGTGACAAGCCCTGTTTGCTTTCTCTATAAAACAGAAGAGGTCACTGTATCTGAAACAAACCTGAACTTGAAGCTAGAGTAATAAGTAACATGAGTGCAAACAGACCAAGCAATCTCACCCTGAAGTCAGCACGAACCAGCTGATATTCCTCACTGCCCCCCTGAAAATGAGGTAAGTGGGAAAAGAAAAGCATTAACACTCGGGAAGCCCAAACAGAGCTTGCTTACAGTCTGATAAATCCAAGGCTGCACCCTTGGAACCACCCTGCCTTCCCAGGTGATCCCACTTTGCTCTCCCTACCCACCAGCACAATCCAGCAGCCTGAGTCCCCTTTCCCTGCTCTCATGAAGGAGGGAAGTTTGTTCTAAGGAGAAGTTTATAGTTTACCAGCTGTGTGAACAAAGTCAGACTTATTGAGCTTCTGTGAGCTGAGCTAAATCAATGAAACATCGGAGCTCAAACCTGATGCTTTATTTCCTTCAGTCTGAGGTTCTGCTCACTATAAATGTGATCTGGACCAGCATGTGTGAGATTGTGAAGCAGAGAAGAAATGAAAACAGAATGTGATTGTACGTGAGATCAGCTCCATGCTGATGTGATAATACATTCAAAATTCTCATTTCTGTAGAAAGCTGACCACAGGCACTTCATCAATCAGTCTTTCGATTTGTAATGTGTTCCGTATGGTTCTCTGTCATTACTTAATGGGGAACATCCCCTCTGAAAACATCTGACTCGGAGCTCTGCATTGAGAGAGCTGCTCATGTTTCAACCACGTTTCCCAGAAACTGAACACTCAGCAACATATTCA